GTTTGGTTTTTGTGATAATGCTCCCTTCTGGTTCTCCTCCCTGATTGCCCCTTCTCTGTCTCCTTTATTGGCTCCATCCTCCATATGCCCATAACTGTGGCTGTTCATCAGGGCTCTATCCTTTACCTTCTTTTATATTCTCTGTACATTCTCCCTCTTGAGGACCTCATCACTTGCATAGGTTTAAGGATCATCTCTATGCAGGTGACTTACATCTACTATATCCAACGCTAACAACTTCCATGAGCTTTAGTTCTGCATCACCCCCCACATGCCTACATTCTCCAGTCTGTGACTCAAAATCTGAAGGTCTCCCCTTAAGACTAAGATGGCATACTTTTATAGAGCCAAAATGATCTTTGGTGGCCCTTCAGCACTTGATTCAAAGCTCCGGTGAAAGCCTGGGGAATACCTTGACCCTGGTTTTAGATCTATTCACCCCAGCCTTAAAACTCCCAACACTAATCTCTGATATATCTGCCTGTTGGACATTTCAAACTAGATATTCTGGTGGCATCCCAAACTCAATATGCCTCAGACAGACCTTATTTGTTTTTTTCCATTTTTTTCAGACTTTTGACTTTAATTTTTTTTTGTTGTTGTTGTTTCATGGAGTCATTGTTTTCTGTTTAGACCATTCTAATTTTCAGGGAATATATTACTTGGGTGAGGTTTTATACCTTTTATGCAAAGCTGTTAATTTCCTTCCCAGTTCTTTCTTCCATAGCTCTCATTTGTTTTCCATTTTTTCCCTCTAGTTCACTTATTTCATTTATAAAAAACATTTTTAAATTAAAAAAAACCTCCTTCCTTCACTTCTTCAAGGAAGTCTAGTAAAATTTGTGTTCATGTTGTGTTTTTCTTTGAGGCTTTGCTTGTAGATGTTTTGAGCCATTCTCTTGTTCTAGGTTTGTGTCTTGATCATCCCACTATAATAGCTTTTTATGGTAGTATTCTTTTTTTCTTTGTTTGCTCATTCTTCCAACCAGCTTTCTGATTCAACAAAACTTATTTTTACTCCCAAACCCATCCTTTGTGTTTCTGTTGAAGGTATCATTTTCACTATCTCTCAAGTTCATAACCTTGATATTATTCTCAATTCCTCAATCTCTCTCCCTCTCTGCAAATATCCAACTTGTTATAAAATCTTGCCATTTCAACTTCTTTTCAATATCTGTCTTATCCAGCTGATTCTCTCTACTTGTCTGCTACCACCTCACTCCAAGCCTTTATTACTTTTCGCTAAAACTTTTGCAAGGGCTACCTAATTGGTCTCCTTGCTTCAAATCCCCCTCCTGTGCTCCACACCGTCCTCTACATATCTGCTAAGATATTTTTCCTTAATGAGAAATCTAACCATCTGACTTACTGACTCAGTAAATTCCAGGTCTTCGCATTTTCTTTAGGATGAAATATAAAGTCCTCCGTTTAACTTTTAAACCTGATTACATTTTGGTCCCAACCTATCTATCTTTTCAGCCTAATTATACATAAATCCTCTTCCCATAGGTGGTAATCCATTCAAACTGGCCTTTTTTGCATTGACTCTCCCATGCCTGGAATACATTCCCTCCTTACCCCCACCTCAGAGAATCCTTTTATTTCTTCAAGAAGCAGCTTAAATGTCATCTTATACAGGCAGCTTTTTTTCCTGATTTCCCCAACTTCTGGAAACCTCCTTAGCTTATATTTGTTTATATATGTTGTCTTTATACTTATTCTGTAAATACTTATATGTGTGATAGAGTGGAAAAAAGAGAGCCTACCTCAAAGCTAGGAAGACCATAGGTTCAAATCCTTTCTCTGATAGATACTATATGATCCTGGACAAAGCCCTTAATCTCTCAATGCTCTAGTCCAGAGTTGTGCCAGAATAAGTAAAAATACAGTGAAACATAGATAATGTTAATATGTGTTTTTCTAAGTCAATATGCAGCCCTGAGGGATCCTTATGTACAGTTTAGTGGGCCCTGTTTCTTTTTGATTTTGACATGACTGCTCCAGGCAATTCTCTAAGAGAAAGTTCTGACTTTTAAAGAAATTTTAGCCATTGGGAGTTCCTTATACCAATGAAATAACAGATCCATTCCCTATCCATATGTTTGTGTATATTCATATACATACATATACATATATGCATATATGTATAAGTATATATACATACATACATATATATACTTATACACTTGTCTCCCCTGTTAGAATATGTTGAAGCATATCAAAAACCTCTTTTTACTATAACTGCAGATATCAAGAAATAATATTTTCTCCAACCTAAAACCTTTCTCAGATTTTTCCTTTTAGGAAAATGTGTAAGAGATCAAGAACAAAGGCTGAAGTAGAAGGATAAATATCTAATAAGATTATTGCTTTGCCTTTTCCCAGAAGGGATGATACTATGATCAACCCTTCTCCATTCAGAAACAGTTAAGTATTAGGCACTGGAAAGAAGCCTTTTCAGGCCTGGAGGGTAGAAGTCAAGGTAGGAATTGAGTAGTTCTAGTTTAAGATGAAGTGACTATCTTAGTGACTATTGTTTTAAATTGTTAGCTCAAAACTATATTTTAACATGTTGTGACTTTTTTTCTTCAGTATACCTATAAATATTATTTCAAATTGTCTTGGGGTAGAGACATATCCAAGGGCATGGAGGTGGGGAGTATTATAATAGTTCAGATCTTACTCTCAGCTGGGCTTGGATTTTGAATAATGTTAAATTAATCAGACTGTTTGTTTCAGACTTGTGCTTAAAATGTACCTATAGTATAGTATTAATATTTTTTGTTTGACAATATAAGCTCTCTTGAGAGTAAGGTTTCATTCTCTGTATTGGTAACTCCAGCACCTACCACATTGCCTGGCAATATACTAGATACATAGTAAGTGCTTATTGATTTATTAAAAGGTAGCAGGCTAGATGATTTTTAGTGCAGTGTGGAATTGATCTTAAGTAAACTTGTGTAGGCAGTTTTTATCTTTGCTTTTACTTCTCTATCTGCATTCCTTCCTTTTCTCCCTGAGTTATCTCTTGCACTTCTCAGTTTCTGTTCTCTTGATACCATTAAATCTTTGCTCAAGAGTTAACTGTAATTAAGGCATTAACTAGTAGCTCCTTTGGGGTTGGTCCTTCCCAACTGTATTTGCATATTAAATGAAAAGCCTTTAAAACTCAAAGGAGTGAAGCTATAATGTTGGAATAGCTGATAAATTTGACATTTTGGAACAGGGGCTGCCTGCTTTTAAAATCACCACTGGGCATGATATATAGAACAATAGAGAATAATACTTAATCTGAAAGACAATTACTTTGGAAGCCATTGTACTATTTCTGGTGTGTTTTGGTTATTAAGAGAGATTATATAGAGTATGTAATGATTTGAGTCAATAAATCCTAGATTCAAATCCTATATCTGATACATAACTGTGTGACCATGGACAAATGACTTAAACTCAGGTGCCTGTTGAAGACTGTAAATTATAGACTGATTATTATAGGTATAGGGACATTATATATAACTTTATATTATTTTAATTATACTATATTTGATATTTAAAACACCCTCTACCCACAGATATACAAAAGTGAAACATTCAGATGTTTTTATTTGAGGGGAACAGGTTGCATTCTGTCATCCTCCCTTTTCTTCCCAACATTTTGTTAGTTCCATTGCCTGGAATCCAAGGTTCCCTAGGGAATCCCTGACCATTTCTACTAAAAAACCATCTTCCACTGCCTTGTCATACCTTATGGATGATCCTGGAATCTTTAAGATAATACAGGAAGAACACAGTTTCTGGCAAATCCCAGCAGCCTAGAAAAACTCAGAGAATTTGCCAAGATGGTGATGTTCCTCACCAGAGAGTTAACCACTTGGTGATAATGTTTGGCCATAGTACCTATCTGGTAAAGTGTGATGACTATATGCAGACCATATCAGGTAACAGAGGGCTACCTTCACACATATAAAATCATGACTATTTTGAAATACCCTGACAATCATGCCAACAGATCTTCTCAGGAAGCAGGCAGTTACTACTACCCTACCTCCTACTTCTCTCATACATGTAAATAAATAGACACTAGACAAGGAGTGAGTAAAAGAAGATGTCATGCTCCCTTCCACAGGCTGTCTGGCCTATCTAGGTAATCCTTTGAATTGCATGGAGTCATTTACTACATTAATTTCTTAACTTGAAATTGTAATCTGAGTGTATGTAACTGATTCTCCTAAGCAGTTTCTTGGGTTTTTATTGCTTTTACATTACTTTTACCACTTTTTTTTTTCTGGATTTCTAGTTCATCAGAGCATTTGGATCATAATTATATCAGAAAAATTTAACAATATGACATAGTGTGATGTGGAAGAAAGAATACGAAGTTTAAGATCCAAAGGAATTTGGTTCAAATCCTAGTTTGATTCAAGTCCCTTCTCTGTGACTTGCTACTTGTGTGACTTTGAGTTTGTAATGTAATCTCCCTTGCCCTCAATTTCTTTATAAAGTGAGGGTTTTAGCATCTAAGGTCCTTTTCAGCTTTAAATCTATGATCCTATGAATAAGTATCTATTACGTTTAAGACTAGAGGCTGACTGGGATAGATAGCTTGGCAGAGAGCAAACCTCAGAGCCAAGAAGTCCTTGGCTTCAAGTCCTGACTCAGACATATCCTGGCTTTGTAACCCTAGCCAAGTCACCTAACTTTCAATGCCCTGGGTAACTCTCTGAAAATAAATAGCAAAGCAGATGCCAATCTGCTGTATTTCATCAGGAGCTCCCTAACCTAATGAAATCATAGGTCTGATTTTTTTTTTAAATGTTGCAGGTTACTTTCCTAATCAAGTAAAATTTTGACCTTTCCATTGTTAATGTTCTAGTTTCTGATGCTATATATATTTATAAGTAACTAATCATTGAGAAACAAATTTATTCATTGGGTATATTACTGAAAAACTAATTTTGGCCAGAGCCTTAATGCTTGTTTTAAATTGTTACATGTTACAGAATTTCACAAATTTATTCGGACAACCTCTAGTCTGCTTGCTTTCTCCAACAACATATCCAAAAGCATTACAAGGTATGTTTTGTGCTGATATACCTGGGTCTAATTTAAACTGTTTTTTGTGTTTGTTTGTTTTTTTGCTTTATATTCTTGAACTTGATTTTCCTTTCTGAGAGACACGTGCAGCCCTCATTGATGAAAAACAGATATGTGGCACATATCAGACTGGAATTGGCTTAGCAATGAGGCTATTTGCTAAATTTTAGCTCTTTGCTAAAAGTAGACTCTTTGATTCAGAGGGTCTATGCAATACTCCAGTTTCAGTATCCTAGCTGTCTTCCAAGAAATACCATACAATATTATTAAAAGAAATAGTGACTATCATTAGCTTTTTTTTTTTTTGCCTTCTACTGTTTTGGAAATTTTCATGGTTTATGGGCTTTTTGTTTATGAGGTATTTATTTTGAAAATCAAGATTCACCTTGATTTAACATCTCTCATATGTAAACTTTTAATTTAAATTTTATCTATGCCATTTTGTTTTTTATACTAGTCATTTCCAATAAAAACTGCTCTGCATTGAACTTTTTCTCATGTAGCAAAAATTTAGACAAAAAGGAAAATGAGAGTCTATGTCAGTTAATATTGTGTTCAGCAGCTATAATCTCTTCCATCTCTACTGAGATTACTCAATATTCTTGACACACCATGTAAACTATTAAAATGTTTATCTTGGCTTGAAGAAATTCACCTGGCTCCTATCTCACACGTAGCCAAATTGGCAGAACTTTAACAAATTTTTGATATATTTTTTTTCACATTTTTGTTGTAAAGAGAGCCTCTCTCTGAGTGTTTTACCCATTTATCATGTGACTGTTTGAAAATTAGAAACATTCAAATTTATCTACAGGTTGTATACACTCTAATACCAGCCAGGACCTGTGAGGTCTTATTCTGCTCATTCATTCTAGCACGAGGCAAGATGAGCACGAAACAAAGCTTAGAAACAAAAACAGAGAGATTTTGAGAACTGTTTTAGCAGGACCTTCACTGTTTCACTGTCTCCCTAACTGTGAATAGTGTTGGTGTCTCTCAGTGAGAGATGGCAATTTACCGCTACTTCCCAGCCAGAAGTCCAGTCTGCTGACATAGTTTGACACAGGAAGTGGTGGTCAGCATTTGAATGCCTGAGAGAAGCTGGAGACTTTTCACCGTTGTTTTAAGGTAAGTTCTGCTCTTTATTAGAAAAACATGTAGCAGTAACATTCAATAGATTTGTCTAAGCATCAAATTATCTATTCTACTAAATGATAGAACTTACCTTAAAACAATGGTGAAAGTCTCCTACTGGGGACCTGTTACCCTGTTTATGTTACTTCAGTAATATTTTAGTTCACATAACTCTCCCAAGATTTAACTTTGTCAGAATTTTTGAAAAGTAATCCACAGTTTGGGTTCATAGGATCACAGAATTTTAAATTTGCCAGAGAGCATGGAGATCATCTCATTCAACCCTTTCATCCTTCATATGAGAAAACAGGCCAAGGGATGTAAAGTGTTTTACCTATTGTCACAGTAGTAACAGAGCCAGGTTTCAGAGATCTTCTGTCTGACTCCAAATCCAATGCTTTTGCCACTACGGTCTGGTTTGTTTGTTTGGTTTTTTTTTAATCACATACTTTATCAAATAACTTTTTATTGAGAAAAGATGGCACACAAAAAGGTTTTCAGCATTCATGAAAGGAGGTATACAAATTCTATTAAATGTTGTCTATTTAAATAAAATGGCTTATTCAGCTGTTGGATAAGAAAGGTAAACTTTAAGTCTTAAAGCATAGAGAGAAGATCTGCAGACCACGTAGTTTAAGGTTGATGAATGTGCACAAACAAGATATAGAGAGTTTACTTATGGGCCTGTTTTGTCTTTCTTGTGTGCAAGTGGTCTCTGTTGATTTGAATGAAAGGATTGAGACCATTTGGATAACACAGCCTGGAATTACAGAGAATTGGATGATCTTCCTGGTTCATTCTCTCCCAATGCAACCTATTTCTTATTTCAGATCAGTCTCAACGTGGTAGCCTCTTCACTCTCTTTCTGAACAATCCTCTAATGGCCTTCCTGTTTGTCTCTGGATTGTCAAGTATGCGTAGAGGTCTGTGGGAAAAATGTCAAGAGTACCTTCGAAAAATCAACCGAGATATTGCCCAACTGCTGACCCACTCACGGTCCATAGGTACCCTCTTGACATAATTTACCAGAATTTGGAATGGTGGTTAAATCTCATGATTGTTTGTTTGACTTTGTTTGACTTTCAAATGGTCATTTAATATATGTTATACACAGGAAAATTAAAGTTTTTCCCCAATTTCTCTTTTTTTTTTTTAATTTTTTCTAGTCAAACTTTCTTCCAATATCACCTTTTTATTCTTTTCAGATCAGGCTTTTCTCCAGTTTTTCGGGGATGAATTTCTTCGCTTGCTTCTCACCAGATTTGTCTTCTGTTCAGCTACCATGAGGATGCACAAGATTTTTCGGGTATGTAGGGAAAATAATCACTTGGGCACCGCTTTAATAAGATTAGGCATGTAAGACTTATGCACTAATCTTTGGAAGAAATTAAGTTCTGTGGTAAAGTAGTTGAATGGCTTGACCAAATAAATGATCACTTGACATGGATACTATTGAGGATGACTCATATGGTTTCTGCATTTAAGTTTAAATTTGAATTTCCATAGTGCTTATAAAGGACTTAGAAATCAGAGTTTGCAAGTAAGTATTTTATTGATATCCATATATTTTAATGAGCATTTATTGTATTTAGGGTCTTTTTAATTTACATAAATTCAGAATTATATTTTATCTCTGCTCTCATTTCTATACAATTATACATTAGTTTCATCTATTTTATGGATTGTTTTTATACGGTAATTCTAATTGCATATGTACTTTTAAAAAAAGTTTCTATTAAAAAATTCATTTTAAATCTCAGGAGTTGTTACAAGGACATATGAGTTGCCATATTATGCCACTGCTATCATCACATATGAAGAATTTCACCCTAGATACTGTTCTATCTTCTTCAGAGTCCTACGGCATTAGCTCCTCTTTGCAATCTGTCCATGGAGTTTTACCATGGCTCCACGGCCTTTGCCACTTTCTAAATCTTCTTTGATTACTCAACTCTAACTTGAGGCCTCAAGCCTTCTAATCCTTCATAGTCCCTGCACCTGCATAGGTTCTCGGATTCAAAAATTTGCCACAGCCAATCCCTAATTACCTTTCTCTTTATTCTGCCCCTGGTACTGTAACTGGATGCCTGTTTCTAACATCTGTTCTCTCTTTTCCTTCCAGCCTCCATTATCAAATACTCCATGCCACAAATATTTATTTTCTAGGGTTTCTCTGCATGAGAAAAGTTATTATATATAAATAATTAAGATACCAGGAGATATATCTAGATCTCCTGTTATCTTCATATATATATATATATATATATATATATATATATATATATATATAT